AATGACCCCACCCGGATTATATTATATGAAGCACATTAAACTTTAGATGCCACAGTGCAATGACCCCACCCGAATCCGGCTCTCTATATAATGCAGACCGCTCCCTCCCCTCCGCTCCCCTCCCCTCCCCGCAACTTCAATGGCAGACCCCTTCACGAATAAATTCTGCAGCCTGAGCCAACCTTCTGCGGCCAAACCCACCAAGCATGCAGCAGCTCCGTCCACCACCTCATCTCCGCGACGTTTTCCTTGCCTCTACTGTCCCCAGGAGTTTGACACCCCTCAAGCTCTCCTCGGCCATCAGAATGCTCACAAGCGGGAGGGAGCCGCTGCTCGGCAGGCGGCCAAACCCACCCAGCATGCAGCCAAACCCACCCAGCATGCAGCAGCTTCGTCCACCAACTCATCTCCGCTACGTTTTCCTTGCCTCTGCTGTCCCCGGGAGTTTGCCACCTCTCAAGCTCTCGCCGGCCATCCGAACGCTCACAAGCGCGAGCGAGCAGCTGCTGCTCGGCCAAACTTTCCGGCCAACAACCTGCAGGAATACCGCCTACTTCCTCTGTTCCCCGCTTATCCACAGCAGCCTTCGCCGCCGCCGCCCCAGCAGCACCAGGACCAGAACCTTGCTTCCAACTCGGTCCCTCGGAGCTTTCAGGGCGTTTCGACTGCTGATGCTCTCTCCACTACCACTGATGAGGATGATTCTGCCAATATGGACCTCACCCTCCGCCTGTGAAGGGCTTTAGACTGAATGGTATGGAGATATAGATAAATGCTGGTTTATTAATAAAATCTGTTTTTAAGTTTGCTGATGAGAGTTTCGTTGGCATTAATTCCCTAATTCTAGTTCTTCCTAGCATGAGAGTGGTTTGCTACTGGGGAGAAGTTTATTATGTGTGCGTAATGTTTTATGTGTAGGAGTATACTCCATTAAATAAAAATATCTTACTGTCCAAAAAAAAAAAGTATGTATGGATCTCTAAGGGTGACGAATATATATTTCTGTATTTCAATCAGCATTAGAGATTAATTTATGGGATGCTTAATTTGTATTTAAATATTGTTTTTTTAATTATTTTTTAATAACATCATATATATATATAGATCTTAATTTATTCTGTTAACTGAAATAAATAGATTAAATTAATCTCTAATTAAGGTGAGGGAACAGAGAGGCATAACCTAATATCAGAAACGAATGCCGGCCAAAAAAAAAAGGAAAGGAGAAAAAGAATAAAAAAATCGTTTGGGCGGTTGGATCTTGATGGGAGCCCAACCAAAGTCTAGCTCATTCTCCCCCAAAAGGAAAATACCAAAACCCTAGCTGCATAAAACATTTATCGGAGGGGATGGTACAAAAAAAGGAGGCGGGCAGCCAAGAGGAGAAATCCCTGGAGTCTTCTTTTCTCCAACCGTCAACCTCTCTCCGGTCCCCCGAGTTGGATCTCACCACCATTGTTGCCGATCATCTCTGATCTCATCGTCATCTTCACCGATCACCACCAAACAGCCACTCTCTCTACTCAAAACCACAAAACACCTCTTGTATATCTTCTCTGTAACAGCCGCACAAAAGGGACAAAACTCTCAGAAATTTCCAGCTTGAGCTCTCGGTGATTTATGCAGAAACAGCAACGGTAGAGAGAAGAAGATTCGGAGCAGAAGGGCAGAAGAGAGAAGGCGCTTGGGGTGATTTCCGGTCTCCTTTCGGTGTTTCTCTGGTGGCTGTTCCTACCCTGCGGCTTACTGATTTTGTCTGATTTCTCTCGCTTAGGTATAGATCTTTACAGAGGAGCTTGAGAATTGTTTTTTTTTTTTTTTTTTGACTATCCCGTGGGTGGGGTACCCTGGATCCGAAGCAAAAATCTACCTCTCAATCTTCGCCCCTTTCTTGATATATGCATTTGTGTTGATTGTGAATCCAGATCTTTAGAAATGTAAAACTGGTTGATGAAATGATACATGTTTGTGTTCAGATTTTATCCTTATTTTTAGGTCGTGGTTGGATGTTGGATTTGGTTTAAGCTTACCGTTTATTTTCTTATCCTTTATTTTTGAGTATCAAATGAATGGCAGGAACTCCAGTTTTCACTCTGTTTTGATTGGGGTTTTTGATCTGTTTAAACCCATTCAGATGCATGGGTTGTGTTTTGGATTGGGTCAACCCAACCCGTTTTGCTAATAAAAAAAAAAAATCAAATCAAATATATGGTAAAATGATTATAAATTTATAATGATTAGCTTCGTGAATAGTTAATGGAATTAAGTAATTGTAATTATATTAAATTAATTACATTTATTGGTTCTAATTAAGGTAATTAGATTTTGTTTAATTATGTTGATTAGAAGCTAATGAATGTGATTAATTAATTTAAATTAACTATTTAATTAAGTTAATTATTATGATAAATTAATTTTTAAATTGTCCACATTTCCGTCGAAGTTATCTTAATTTCATCCGAAACTTTCTATGATTAAGCAATTTAGTCTTTTAGATTGATAATTTCAGATTAGTCCTTCAAATTTCAAATTTTGGTCAAATCAGTCCTTTAACTTTGAATTTGTTGCAATTGTGCTTGCATGTTTTGATTTGTCCAATTCAGTCCTCACAGTTTTCAAATATTATAATTTTAACCGTTTACTTTTCAAGCTTACTTAATTAATACTTAAAGAATAAACGAGATGAATTAAATTTTCAAATGTTAAAATATGCAATTGTTTTTTACATGAAGAATTATGAGACACGTATATACCCTTTCCTCGAACATTGATTTCTACGTTGACCATGTTTTAGATGATTTGTTTCGTTTTATAATTTGGATAAGTAGTAATTTTGTATTTTTTTTTATTTTTTACACTTAATATTTCAATATTTTCATATTTTGAAATTTTAAATGGTAGTCAATAAAAGAATTATAAGTGTTAAATTAATATAAAAATTGATATATATGAGACACGTATATACCCTTTCCTCGAACATT